ACCTTTATTTACCGTCAATCGGCCTGATATTAGGCGCTGGTTTTGTGGCGTGCTCAATCCGGCCATCATTGGTTCTTCCTGTCTGATTATGTTTAATGTAAGATTAGGTGTGCAGTTAAACCAAAATTGCAGTCATGAAGAAATTAAATGCAGATTAACTTCGGATAATGCTACTATCTAAAAACATAGACGTTCAGATATACAAAATTATATTTTCTCTGTAGTTTTATATGAGTGTGAAACTTGGTCTCTCACATTCGAATCTCAGAGGGATAAAGTAACACGAAGCTACAGAAAATATGACAGTGAGAAATTCCATAATTTATACTCCCCAACATATATTATTATAATGATCAGACCAAGAAGGATGAGATGAGAATGACATGTAGGACGCATGGGAGCGAAGTTCATACAAAATTTCGGTAGGAAATTCTGAAGGAAGGAGACGAACAGGAAAATCTAGAGACGCAGATGGAAATATAATATTAAAATGGATCATAAAGAAATAGTATGGGAGGATGTGGACTGTATTCATCTGGTTCAGACTAGGGACCAGTAGTGGGCTCCTATGAACACGGTAATTAACATTCAGTTTTCATAAAATGTTGGTAATTTTTTTATATACTGAACATCTATTAGTTTCTCAAGAAGGCCTGAGCTCCATGCAGTTAGTAGGTATGATTATTGAGGGCCAAGCCATAGCTCAAGCGGTTAGTCGCTGCCTTTTCACCGCGGTGGCCCGGGTTCGATCCCGGGTCTGGTCAAGTGGGATTTGTGGTGGACAAAGTGGCTCTGGGGCAGGTTTTCTCAGAGTACTTCGGTTTCCCCTGCCAATCTTCATTCTACAAATTGCTCCACAATCACCCTCACCTATCATCTGGGGCTGGTACAATAGGCCAGAAGTGGCCGCAGTACAAGGGACTTAGTCCCACCCCACTATCAATAAAAATATATATAATCCATTGCACTTTTTTCGTTAATTTCACCTGGACTTTCTCCTAGTACGACTGTGAACACATTATTAGTATACGGTCACTGACCACACTGTTACCCTTTCTCTGTTCTTCGTGTACAGACTTCAAAGTCGGTAATAAGGGCTACACGTTATAACAAATATTACATAAAATTAATGGAATGACAGGTTAAAGCCAGTTAATATAATACAGTGATGGTATGAAAAGCCAGAACAATTCCTAGATCCCCGTGCTGATGCGGCAACTTCTCCGACACAGCCGTTAACAGCATAGTCTAAACTGAACAATGCAGGCGCAGAATTCACTTAAGTATTAAGCATCAGGGACAAACATATCTCTGTCTCTCTCTCTCTCACTATGTCCTGTTTGAGTGACGTCACCACACATCTCCTGCCTCACAGATAACGGAACAATATAATTAGTTCCTATAAACTTCGTTAACGTTGTACAGACGTTGTTAAACTACGGCTTGCGGGCGGCATGCAGTTTTTCTGATCAGCTGGTACACCTCATTCATTCATCAGCGGCTCTACAGCCCTTTTTTGGGCCCTGGCCTCTTCTTCAGTTTCGTAATCTGTTCTACACAGATGGTAGGACTCCTTAACCGAGTGATCAGCCTGTCGCAAGGCCGCTACCTACACACAGAACAACACAAACATAGAATAAATACAGAGAGACATCCATGCATTGAGTGGGATTCGAGCCTACGATCCCAGCGTTCGAGCCAGCGAAGACAGTTCATGCCATAGACCGCGCGGCCACCTAGTTCGGCCTTCTACACTTTACGGAACAAGTATTAGTCCCTCTTTAATTGTTCGTTTACGTAGTATAAGAAAGTATTTTCGTGAAAATATTCTATTTCAAGATCTTATTGGTAAGGCCAGCCTGTTGCCTGCTTCTGCTGGTTTCTCGGTTCACTTACTCTTCGACCCTGAAGATGGAGGCGATACTTTCCTCTGAAACATAGGGGCTGTCTCTGAAACACATCGATATACAACCCAGAATACCGTACTGTTTAGGTTCGGCCACACAGAGCGCTACGCTATGTTCGCTACGTACGCTACGTACGCTGTGTACACTCTGCGACGCAGCTAACATATGGAACATAGCGTACGTAGCGTACGGAAGGCTGTGTGGCCAGTCACACTGGCAATAAAGGGAGATATTTTTCTGTTCGTATAGCGAACATAGCGTAAATAGCGTACGTCGCGTACGTAGCGCTCTGTGTGGCCGAATCTTTAAACAGTTACTAAGTGTAGCGCTTATCACACGGATTATCAACGAAACCCTTCAGTGGAATCTGATGAAACACCGTCTAGTCTAATGCCTCGTGAAACAGCATTCGTCTGTTAACCTATAGCAGCCACAGTAAATGTGATGGATACCGGCAGGACCGGGAAATGGAAACTCGAGTTTCTTCTGTTCCACGCGCATGTTCTTATCCGTATTAACTAAAATATATTTTAGTATTTCTTTATTGGAGTAGAGGTTCTGACGACACTGTGAAGAGCAATATCGTCTAGGATGTGACGCCGTGTAGTCTGGTCTAAGTTTACCGACGTTTCAGACGAACATCGGTAAACTTAAAGCAGTCTGCACGGTGTTACAACCAAGACGATATTGCTCTTACATTTTTAATTAGGTAAATTTCAAAAAAAGTTCAAACTCGATAAGATTTTCATTAGTTGCTCCTTTTTAACAAGAATCTTTCCTTTTAATTAAAGTTAAATGGATGCTAAGCCATATCTGTAAGATCCAGTAGGCAAAATTAGTTTAGTGATTGAAGCCCATCTTTTAATAAAACGAATTTTAATTTTTCCCGAGAAACATCAATTCCAAACTGACAATATCAGATGCGTTATGCAGTAAACAAAGGCTTGTTTTCAAAAATAAAATTATGTTTTTATTTCTCTTTTCTTTATCATCAAAATTAACCTTGCATTTCTTGCATTCTCTGATCCACAAAATCTAACCTACCGCTAGGGCAGCTCGGTCTGTAGCAGCAGGCTGGATGGCCGGGATTCGATTCCAGGCAGGGGTAAGAATCTTTTTCTTCACGGCTTCCAGACTACCCTGGGGCTCACCGAGACTTATATTCAATGGATGCTGAGGTTCCTTATTCAGGGATAAAGCGACCGGGGCGTGAAGCTGACCGCTCACCTCCATCTAGTGCCGAGTTCAAGAAATATGAGGCTATACCTCCACTCCCCTATACATTTTATCACGGCATGCATAATTAAGAACAGGGACAATTTTACCTTGTTACCCTTTTATGTATATGTTACATATGCTTGTTGGATCAGATGTCGTGTTTCTATGGCCTATACCAAAATTAGCTTAACGTTTTGATGAAATGTATATCTGTGTTGGTCAGAGAGTGGTTTAATTCAAATTAACGAGTCCATGAGTCACTCTGCAGTTAATTGCAATGTAAGTTTGGAATGTAGTGAATGCATTCACATAACAGCGCGTTGGAAGGTTAACTGATTAACTGTCGTCACCGACAAAATACATTTCTCTCCGTGTGTAGGCTAGTAGTTATATNGTCCAAAATCCCAACATATCAGTTTGTTATACACCATCGTCAGAATCCTATAGTAAGTAGTAGTTATATTCTCTCTCGAAAATGAACTGCGCACTTAACTGTATTTATCCGTGATTTTTGGTCTCCCCTGAGAAATATATTCCTTGGAACTTAGTGGGACGCCGCACAGATGGCAGCACTGTGCAGATTAGTAAAGTATCCATTAGGCTCGCCTCGTTTAATGGATCGCGCCAAACGAATGAGAATTGTGATGTAAGCGATTGTTGGCCTGCAGTAGCAAAGGTCACTTCTGAAAGAGAGAGTTTTTCATTCGGAAACCTTGTGTCTTAAGGAAGAACATCCCTTTATTTTACATGTAAGTTGCTGCGGAACACGTGGAACTAGGGGCTGCCTACGCAACAGATGCCTGTAAAACCAGCTTCACTGTTGCTGAATGCATATAACACCTTAATTATACGAGTACATTTTAATGCTAATCCTGTGTACATTTTGCATCTGTTGTTATTGTGTTCAACTACTTTCCTTTGCGGATTTTTCTTTTCTCTTTGCCTTCTTCCATCTCTTTCTTTTACGTTACCACTGTTTCGTGTGTCTCCGTTTTGCTTATTTGTTTTTAACCCGCTGGATTCCTCATTTCTTTGTCTCGTGTCTTATTTGATTCCATTATGTGCTCTCAAATGTGCTACTTTATATCAACCTTCGTTCCTCTATATTGCCTTCTGTCTTCTAGCCATGTATTCTTTGCGTTTGTTTTGTTGTTTCCGTTCTTCTTTCCTCCTATCGTGGATTCCTCCGTCTTGCAGCTCTGTTACTTTGTTAATTTTCTCATTCTTTTAAGTTGTTTTAATTATAGTTTTCACGATTTTCTTTCATACATGCATTTTTGTTGTTCCTTGTTCTCCGAATAATGTACTGTATTATTGTTTTTGTTATTATTATTATTATTATTATTATTGTTATTATTATTATTATTATTATTATTATTATTATTATTATACATAGTTTGCCTTTGGCTGTCCATCTTCTCTTGCTGTTTTATGCATTCAACTCTTTACCATATTTTTTACCCTTCTTCAACCACTTTTGGGTCACTGAAGTACGAGTTTGTAAATAATATTTAATATTATTATTACTATTTAATAATATTATTTCGTAAAATACACGTACATTTCCAACCTCACAAGAAACACGCTGCTTCTCCATTGTAAAAGTCAGTTTGTTGATTCTAGTTTGGGAAACAATCGCCGTTTATTCTGATAATCTTATGAAACGCTTAAGTACACTCTGTGTTCAGGGTTTAGTATTTAGTGTTATAGGAAGCGGTACATATAGGAACCATTGGTTTAAAGGGTGAAAGTTTCGGTAGAATTCCTTATGCCCATGAGGCGATATTCTGCTTATTTCTGTTTGAGTGGGAGCGTTATGTACTGTGTGGTTTCCATGCTTTTGAAGTTTGTTCTTTTCCTGTGATTTCAGACAAATGGAAGCACACACAGAGGTGATATCAGACAGTCGGGTGGTGGTGTGGGGAGAAACATGGCAGACGCTCTTGGCAAACTGGGAGCACATCCATTCCTCATCTCCGCCGTTGGGAACGATCAGACAGGGGAATACCTGCTGAAGAACACTCTCAAACACGTTGTAAGTACAGCCATTGCATTTCTTCAAGTCTCACCAGTACCGGTAAACAACTATGCATGCCGGCATAGTCAGAGATGACATCTGCTGGTGAAATGTATATTTCGACCTCTAGGCTAAACCTAAGCTTGAGAAAACCAACGAATATGATTCTACGCCAAGTGCAACACTTGTATGATACCTACGTTCAGTATTTTTTATGACTAAATACAAGTGAGAAATTCTACAGCCGAGTGGTTACAGTGGTAAGACTTGCGTTCTGGAGATTTCTAGTTTGAATTTCGGCTGATATATCAGCTGTCATGACTGATACCCCTTTTCTTTCTTTCCTGTCACTCAAGACAAAGCACCGAATGCGTCACAGTCGTTTTGTTCCAGATTCGAAGTTACGAACAACTCCCACCGAATGTCACATAAAATGGTTAACATATCTCGTATTTCTAAGTCCCGGCTTCAGATCTTGGCTTCAAGGCCGAATATCCTGGCAGATTTTCGTGATTTTCCTCAGTTTTCCAGGCAAGTGCCCGGTATAGGACCTTAAAGTAGGCCAGTCACTTCCTTCCACATCCTTTCAAATGCGTCACAAATTGTCTTTCCGTGTTGTGTTACATAACGTAATGGTTTATTTATTAACGGTTCTCTGCAATAAATAAGCAATGTCATAACCGTTCGTGATAATCTTGCTGCCTCAGTGAACGTCGTGTAATTTCTGCAGCTCAGTCTTACGAACTGCCGTTACATTCTCCGTGTTTTGCAGGAGACGCGCGGATTGGCGCGGCTGGAGACTTTCCGGACCGCCTGTTACAGCGCCATTGTCGACAAGAACGGGGAGTGCTACTTCGGGGTTGGTGACATGGACATCAATGACCACATCACTCCTAAACTGGTGAGATTTTGACCTGTAGAAACGAGCAGTGTATCGGGAGCCATTATATTACATAATTACATATTTAACGGGTTTCAGTTATGAATATTTGTGTTGAAAATGGCATATCGTGTCCGAGAAACGTTTATTTGATTAAGATTTATTTTCGATCTGATCAATATTTATGCTTGCCCTGACCACGCGACACCCTCTATCCTCAAAAAGTTGGCACTAACTTCGCCGACAAGCGGCGGTCGTTCGCTTGCGGACTAAAAACAATGGAGTTTATGTTTTTGTTTTGAATATTTATACACTAACAGACTTTCACAGTTAACTACAGTTTACATATAAAATGTATGGTCAATACAGTCTTGAATATACTTAATAAATATTTGACCTGATTTTGTTACTTTTTTTGGTACGATGTTACAACTTCAAATTTGTTTCAGACATAATTTTTTTTCATTTAATCAATATTTATTTAAACGGATCTTAATATTGTACCATGTTAAGTTGTGGGGCCGATGAAAATTAGTCTATACGCTTCAGCAAAGACTCGGGCAATGCCAAATTTCAATATAAACTCCACGCTCACGCAAGTTGTAAACAAATGAAATTTCGATACGAATTGTAGTGGTTTGTTACATATGCTGTCAGACCGAAAATTAGGTTATTATTATTGTTGAAGTGCTTGGTGTTGTTTATGTTGATGTCGTCATCCTCCTCCTCCTCCTCATCATCATCATCATCATCAGAGTAAAATTGCTTCGAGGCAGACACACCAGTCCATGCGGGTAAAGCTTTACACGCTGAGCACAGGCGTCCATTTTGTTTCTTCTACCACTTCCACCCGGTTACTGTTAGATTGTCGTTACCAGGACCCGGATTTTGATGACCTGAAAATATTTAAAAAATTACCGAAAAAATCCAGAAAAATTACCTAAAGCATGACCCAACAATGTAATATGTAGGGCCCGGATTTTGATGACCTGAAAATATTTAAAAAATGACCTATAATAGACCGAAAAAAATTCAGAAAAATTATCTAAAACCTGACCCAACAATGTAATATTCAGGGCCCGGATTTTGATGACCTGAAAATATTCAAAAAATGACCTATAAAATGACCTAAAGGGGAAANTAAGTCGCGCACCCTGTAGAGGCGAGGGATATTCTGGGAAATTTATATAGCGAAATTGAATAATGATAGACTTGAGGTTTTTGTAGCAGTGACTATACATAACGACGTGTTGTTCGATGTTCGATGAAAGTCAACGGACGTTTCGAAATAATATATTTCCTCCATATTCAAGGTCAGAGAGTAAACCATGCAAGAAATGAGCATGAAGGAGGAAGCAAGCAGACCCTTAAAATTGAGGCGAATTGTCCCTCCCAAATTTACGTTGACTTTAAACGGATTACATGGCCGTCATGTCCCAATGGGTATAACTCTATAAATTGAGTTGATTATGGCTCTCAAAATGTCATGACATTTGTTAAATCTCCGAAAATAGTGATATAAACTAAGAAGTGGCGATTTTAAAAAAGAAAACTGAAAAAGCACATATAATAGTATCAAGAAGGGGGGGTTGATATACGTGTACTCTTCACTAAGCTGATGGTTCGCCAGTGTGTGTTCGGAAACCTCTGCCCTCCTGTGATTTGTGTTACTTATAAGTGACATCTGTTGATAAGACATCTAACCATAGTATGTAATTGATGAAGCTATCAATGGATCGTGCAAAGCACAAATTCAGTACTATTGCTAATTATAGTAGATTTTGCGTTATAAACATGCTGGGGTTCAATGACCAGGGTACGCATTATATTGTCACGATTTATGTGGGACTATAGACGGGGTTTGGATTAGTGAATAGGTTTATTGACCACTTACAGGTCGTAACCACAAATAACTATAGCACTATCGCCGATTTCCACACTTTACACTGAGTCTTCTCCAGCCTGCAGTGTCTTCACTAGGCGTTGTTTGGTAAAGGCTTCTAACAGTGGAGATTCTTCAGCTTCACGCTCTCAGGTCCTATGTTCACAGAACTCAACTGAACTCATTGCTTTAATTGACATGGTTATAACTTCTCGACTCGGACCACATAGAAAACACAGTTCTTCTATTGTTGCCTGTGTATTCGTTGCCGTGGGAGCGTGTTTACCGAGCTGTTACCAAGAATCGGCCTTGTTTATTCGCAGTCATTACATGGCAACGACTGCACACGCTACAGTATTAAAACCATAAGTGTTGGACCTGAGGTCTGGACTGCAATGCCAATGGAGGGTAGTATTTTCTGACATGTGTCCTCTTATAGTCTAATAGAAGTTCTTCGATGTTTCGGAGGATAGTACTCTTCAATTAAATTAATTGAAAGCCATACATTAATAATAGTTACGAACTTCATTCTGAACTCACTGATTTGTTTGTGTTTTTTCTGTTTTTGAACATAGTTCCTTTACTTTGATACATACAGGTCGAGAAGTTTCTAGAAGAAATACGGCTGAGTTCCCTGGTGGTAATGGACGGAAACATTCCTGTTGAAACAATGGACTATGTTCTGCATACCTGCAAGGCGTCACGAATACCAGGTAGGGAGCGGCTTTACCTCTACCAATCAGACAAGCGTTAGAAATGCATACAGCAGTACACACATGCAGAGGGGTAATTCATGATGGAATTAAATACTTCTTTTAATTTGAGGGGAATAGAATTGTTCCAAATAGATGACTTTTTAACACACGGAAGTACAGAAAACTGGATTTAATTATTCTGATGGTGACAGTAATTATTTTTTCGCTTAGTAGGGGGGGGGAGTCCAACTGGGTCCACTCGGCACGGCGGCCACTGATTGGCCTATTGTAGCCTGCCCCGTGTGATTATGATGATGGAGTATTTGGTGGAATGAAGATTGGTAGGGGAAACCGAAGTACTCGGAGAAAACCCGCCCCAGCGCCACTTTGTCCACCACAAAACCCACTTGACCAGACCCCGGAATCGAACCCGGGCCGCCGCGGTGGGAAGCCAGCGACTAACCACTTGAGCTATGGCGCGGCCCTTCATGACAGTAATTAAGTACACGCCTTGTGAGTTACCCCCCAAAGAACTGTTTTATTAATGAATACAGAAAATAATTAGGAATGTTTTGGTCTTCCACAGTTGATTAGATTTTGTTTAATTTGACATTATTGGCAATGTCACAGATGCATAACACTTAACGTCCCACATCCTTTTATGTGGTTTAAGGTGGCTTCTATATTATGATAGACTTGAAATATTAATTTGGCCAAGTGACTAAATTAATCCGTTCCCATTTCTTTTAACGGACTTTTCAGCTCGTGGCTAACGGATGGATTAGTTAAAGTAAAGGGCTTTAGAGGAAGCCAGCCTATGCGCGCGTGCTGAACCACAGCATTGCTTCAGGAAACTTAAAAATGACAGACATAACCGTATATGTAACACTGGGCAAACATATCGCCTCAGTCTGCAGGGTCGAAGAGTAAACCAAGAAAGAAACCAGTATGAAGCAGACAGCACAACTTGGCTTACTTTCGACCCTGAAGATGGAGGCGATATACTCTTCCGAAAAGTTTATTGGAATTCATCGGAATACACAGAGTTATTTCCCATAAGACAGAACTTGGCATGTTCACCGATATGAGAACCTCACATCGAACATAACCTTACATTACTGCTTCCCAACCTGTGGACCATGACGGGAAATCAACCGAACTGTGTGAAAACATCTGACAAAATCATAAAAACAGAACCAGAATACGATGGGAAAGTGGGGGATTCGTTCTCCCCGTTTAGTGGAAATTCGAACTTGACAAAGAATACGTATTGCCGCTTGTGTGTGACTCTCGACGGGGTTTTGAATTGGATTTATTGACCATTTTAACTCACTAGTCATAGCTACACTTAATTATAGCGCCATCGCTGATTTCAACACGATACCAAATCACGCTAAGTTTTTCCAACCCTCAGCGTCTTTACTAGTAGTTGCCTGGTAACGGCTTTCAACAGTGGCTATTCCTCGTCTTCCGTGCTCAAATCCTTTCTGAAGGGCGGCTCCCTTCCAACTGCGTAATCTTCCCAGTCGGAGTTAACTGTACGACTGGCGGTTTACCGCCAATCAGTTTGTCTTGGCGACAAACTTCTGAGAGTCACGACCAGTAATTTTATTTTCCAACTGAACACTTGCGGTTATAGTTCTTATGTGTAACATCCTCTCTGACGGGAAGATGGATCTGCCGTTTGCAATTGTTGCTGGTCCTCGCCAGCGCAGTCATTCTCGAGTCCGAGTCCCTCGGGACTCGAGACCATATTTTACTGTCTCAGATTTGAGACTTCCCTTTTCGGTGCCTCCTACGACTCGCAGGGTCACGGTGGAAGTATTTGACCCCGCCTCCACACGGGGGTCCATTTGCCCCCTTAATAATCCCTTTACACGTACTGAATATGAAACACCATTCCAAACAGTACCTCTGTTGTTGCATGCGTGTTCGTTGCAGCGGAAACGTATTTGCTGAGCCGTCACCTAGAAACGGCTCTACACGCTATAGTATAAAATTCGTACGTGCCCTTAATACCCGCGCATGCGCAACAACTTGAATATGTCGTTACTTACGGAAGTTTTTCAGAGAATTTAAAATACGGAAATATTGAAGAGTACGTTATTCTTAATTGTACCGCCCTGTAGTAGGGGGAGAGCCCTACGTTTCGGTTGAACAAATCGCCTCCATCCTCAGCGTAGAAAACTAATGCAAGCAAGAAAGTGGGACAGCAGCCGATAAACTGAGCTCAGCTACACGGAGTTGAAACCCGTAGTCACCGCCGCGATAACCAGAAATTCAGCATGTGGATGTTGTTACATCTGTTGAAGTGCTAATTGTTGTTAGAATTAAAGTATCTTCACAACAATAATAATAATAATACTGGGCTGCAGATAAAGCGGATAGTATTGCCGACGTGTTAACGATTCGGGTTTTACCTTTACAATCTGCTTACTCCGATCTGAACAAATTTCAGCAGATTCAGAAGCGTCGAATCGGAGTTCTGTTGGTTTGAGATTCCGAACAAACAACATGAATCAACTTCTCTACAACCCGCCACCTCTGACGTCATTACAAACCCTATTGTGACTTTGATTACAAATCTCAGTAACTTGTTGCCTGTCTATTATTTACATTCAAAGTTTTGTTGGACTATAAACGCTTCCCTGTAATGGATTAAGTTAATAGCAGTTGCAAGGAATATTGATTTAGAGATGAGATGCCCAGGGATTCTGCATGTCATACCTACATAACGGATACCTACGGCGCATAGATCTAGGTAAACAGCCAGGGGAGACAAAATCGAATATGCAACGCTTGACAAGTATCAAATGTATTCGCCGTTGGTGTAGTTTCACAAGGATTCGACAAAGCCGGTTTAATATCATTCTTAATAAGTCTCAAATGTATAGCTTACTGTGCTCACTNCCTGTCTATTATTTACATTCAAAGTTTTGTTGGACTATAAACGCTTCCCTGTAATGGATTAAGTTAATAGCAGTTGCAAGGAATATTGATTTAGAGATGAGATGCCCAGGGATTCTGCATGTCATACCTACATAACGGATACCTACGGCGCATAGATCTAGGTAAACAGCCAGGGGAGACAAAATCGAATATGCAACGCTTGACAAGTATCAAATGTATTCGCCGTTGGTGTAGTTTCACAAGGATTCGACAAAGCCGGTTTAATATCATTCTTAATAAGTCTCAGATGTATAGCTTACTGTGCTCACTTTGTAACGATATAACATCACATTCCTTGATGCAAAGTAAAAAAAAATGGATTATCATGTAGCTTGGTATGAAGATAGTGCCACTGGAGGCCACCCCACCTATGTACGTTTAATATCCATGCATCAGTAATACCAACATTGCCCCTGTACTTAATTAATTAGGCACTATGTCAGGATATAGCTCCACCTTTCTTGACCTCGGCACTAGATATAGGTGAATGGTCAACTTCACGCACCGGCCGCTTTGGAGAAAGAACCCCCGGTACCCATTGGGTAGGAGGCTGGGTGGGCCTCAGAGCCGGTCTGGACATTATGGAGTGGAGAAAACTCTTGAACTGCCGCGAATCGATCCCAGGCCGTCCAGCTGGTATGCCATCGCTATACCGATGGAACTACCCCGGCAGTATCAACATGGTAGCAGTTAGAATTTCCATAGCACGGGCGACGTTAGTGTCACTTGCTCAAGAATCCTGAAACGTTTTAACATTTGGATTTTGAACTACTGCTGATTGATTGCTGCGTGCGCCCTCCCGAGTGTAACCAGTTTGGATGCAAGACTAGGACCGCCAGCGAGTCTTCAGGGCCCCCAGACTACTAGTTCTTTCGTTGCCGCCCCATCGTGTTGCAGCTACTGGACTGCAGTACCTCACTTTTGGAACACTTGAGAATGCTTCAAATATTCATAATTACTAAAGTTGAAGTATGTATGTTCCTCCGAAACGTCCGACGGCCTCCGAAATATACGGCGTTGCAACCAGGAAGACTATATGGTCTTCATAGTTTTCGCGGTGAGAACATCGAATTTACGATGTTACAAACCTGCGAACAGTATACGTGTATATGAAGTCTTTGTTAGCCCAGGTGAAGCAGATTATGCCTAATCTCGGTTACCATATGGCAGTGCAGTCACTTCAACGGTCATAGGCTTGACCGCAACCATGTTTAAATGATGTACACTTCCCGTGAATGTGCTCTTCTTGCCCTTTGTTGCGAATGTTTGCATGTTCGTGAATTTGGACGCCTTCTGTCTTTTCACTGCATAATTTTGTGATAAAATCGTAGACGTACAGAATTTTAGAACCCACGTGCAATTCACTGAACGATATGCGACTTGGAAATTGCCACTGGTACGAGAAACTGTATTTTGCAGGTGCTGCAATTTCAGAAGATAGGTACCTACCTACCACTTGGCGTTACAGCCTTGGGTCAGTCTTGACCTCCTCTACAACCAGTCTCCACTGCTCTCTATCCATCCTTTCACCTTCATCTTCTTCAGGTCATCTCAACATCGTCTGGCCATCTCACTGTGCATACATTCTGAGTTGCCATTGCAATATCACTGTTCCTTGTCCTTTGCTTAGTCCGTTTCCCATATGTTCCACTTATCTGAGGCTGGTTGTTAGGTTTCTGAACAAAATTCTTCTTACAGGATGAGGTTTTAGCCCCGTGCCCAAACCCCAATCTGGAGGACCAGGGTATCTCTCTTAGTCTGGACTCTACTCTTTGACTTTTCCAGCATAGGTGACTCTACTGGTAGTTAAACTACCGCTGGCATAGCTCTCCAGGTCACAGAGTCATGCAAGCCCCACCACCACAAGGTGGAGACACCTTTGGGGGGTTCAAAGGATAAGTATCTGCTGCAAATTCCCAGTCTGGGCCAACACAAATTATCCTAGACCTAGTAGTGAGTGCCTTGTGCATAATCACCCAGTTTTTACTAAGGAATGCACGGAAAGCCTTGACTTCGATAATTTTTAGATATATTCTCCATCCACTGGTACTATCACAGGTTAGGCCAAC